CAAAGAAATTTAAATGAACTTGATTTAAAAAAGAAAAACTCAAGTGAAATTAAGAAAATATCCCAAACAAACGAAAAAAAATGGGCAAAAACAATTTTAAAAAAATAGAATTTAACACTGGGTCGAAACTCTGAGAGAAAAAAAGGAAAAATAACTAAAGGCAAGGTCACCCAGCGTCCCCAAAAAAAAAAGAAAAAAAAATTAAAAGGGAAAATTGATTTTATTGGAGTGGGCACTGGGTGACCGAGCTTACATTTGGTCTCCCTACGGCTCCCTGCACTCCGCGCACTACGCGTGCCTTGGTCATCTGCCGTCCCCAAAAAGAAAGGTCTTGGAAAGTCTTTGTCCCGAATTGCCTATCCGCCATGCGCCTCGTCACGGCCGGCTAAGGCAATGGCGAGCGCAATGGTACGGCCAATTAAGGCAATACCGTGAGGATATCTACGCGGCCGGCGAAGGCAACGTAGAGATCCCAAAAAAATGTAACCCATCGTTACATTTGGTGCAGGCGGTTGCGGCGAGATCTGAGGTGTCCGCAAGTTCTCCAGGTGTTGAGCCGGGACCGGGCTTGGATGTTGAGGGCGGGTAACCTCGTCGTGGCGAGGGCCGTCGTAGCGTAGGTCATCCGGCCGTCGTCGACAGGGGCGGGCTCGATGTTGAGCGTAGTGCAACGCCCCTCAGTGCCTCCTGGGTGCAGGCGGTGCGGAGGCGGCGGGATGCATTGTGCCGATCGGGTTTGGAGCCATGCGGAAAGTCCGTCTCTGGGGCCAGCTCACGGGACACGATGGCAGTGGCAGGAGTACTGTGCGGTAGACGAGGCAGGGAGCAGGCGATGGGATGCAGTCTGGTGCCGGATGCGATGGTAGCAGCTCTCTTTGGGATTGCAACAAGTATGGCCTGTGAAAAGACAACACACACGAGGGACCAGAGAGAGCCAACCAGGTGCGTAATAATTTGCATTGCCCGAACTCTATGCTAACAGGAAAGAGAAAGAAAAGGGAGAGAGATATGAGCCGGGTAGGGTCAAGCTAATGCAAAATTTGGGCTAAGTAAATAAAACTATAGATAATAAAACTAAATGAATGAAATTTTAAGAGAATAAAATTAAGGGAGTTAAGTTAGGCGAATAAAACCTAAGGGGTAAAAACTAAAAGAATAAACTAAAGGCCTTGAATTAAAAACTAAAGGATCCTATTAATTGCATGCTAGCTAGCTAATTATTTTAAAGTAAGGCCTGACAATAACGCGCGTGGGCGCGCGGCTGTGCCCAGTAGCGCGCAGCTTCTTGGGGAAGCGCAGCAGCGTAACTAGGTAGCGCGCAGCTCCAGTTAAACGGGCGAGAGAACGAGCCCGGAGCGGTAGGGGAGCGCTGCAGCTAAACTTATTAAGTAGCGCGCGGCTTCAAATAATAATAATAATATTTCCTTCCTGCTGAGTCCTGATGATGATGGGTTACCGGGGTTTGGTTGCTGGAGTACGTCGCCTTCGCGCCAAGCGCAGACGTACTTCCGCGGGGTTTCCGGTGTTGTCTTCGGCTCGAAGTACACATCGACTGGTTGTCCTGGTTGATAGGTGGCGTCTACACGGTAAAAACGATGTCTTGTATTACAAGGATATTGCTTGAAATACAAGTGAAAATGACTTGTATTTCAAGCAAACTCCTTGTAATACAAGACATCATTTTTACCGTGTATGCGACCTTCGTTGTAGAGGGCGGCTTGTAGCTGCTGATGGTGCTTGAGTGAAGTGAGGGCGTTGTCGACGATGCTGGTGTCGACGAGTCAGGCTTCAATGTGTCCGCTGTCTTCGAGCCACGGGGTGCCGCCTGGGGGATGTGCAGGGCCTCGTTGAGCTGTTTGTGGAGGTCCTGGGTGGCGGGCGTGAGTTTGGTGCTGTGTTCTCCGTTGATCGGGGAAACGAGGTCGACGAACGGAGGAGCGGACGGAGTCACCGGTGAAGATGGGGTGAACGCCGTCGACACTAGCTCGGCGAGGATGTCGATGATCTGGTGCTTGACAAACGCTTTTCCATGCAAATAACCGATTAAGCGGTGGACTTGCACCAGGCTAAAAGCAGTCTTGTACTCTTCTGTTGGCTCTTGTAAAATCAAAATACGTTCAATTTGCCAAGTGGACGGTATGTCTAACTTGGCAACAAGAGATGCTTTAGCCGACTCACGTTTGGCACCCCGGGCGTCTGTGTCCAGGTAAGCAGTTTTGAAGTAGAAGTCGAGCTCGTAGATCCGGTCGGCGAAACACCGTGCGTGCTGGTTGGTGATGTTGCTGTTTATCCAGAAGGCCAGGCACGGGTTCGCGGCGGAGGGCTCGGAGGTGATGCTGTTGATGATTGATGAGACCACCGGGTGGCGTTCTCTGAGCGCGGCAAGGTCCATGCGGGGCGGGGCCGAACGGAGATGCTACTGGAGGCGTAAGGGCCGCTGCATGGACGTGCGCGCACTCGGGGTCGGACTCAGCAGGAGGAGAGAGGTGTAAAAAAAATGACATACATAAATACCTAGTCTAGCCACTTGAAAATGACGTTAATATTCAAAGGTTCTTAAAAAGGCCGATGCGCCATGTTAGCAAGTAAAGGTTTAAGGTGGACTAGATGCGAACCCTACCGGCTCTCAATAATTAGAACTTAGAGATAGAGTGAGACTTGATAGTTTATTGCAAGGTGGTTCAGGTTAGGTCAACACTCATACACTGTGGCTCTCTCTCACCTCTCGTGTTGTTCTTCTCCAGTCTAGGAATCGGAGCTGCCACCTCGACGACGACCAGACCGCATCTGACGTGTGTCGCCTGTGCACGGCTACTTAAAGCTTCGCCCTGGCGGGCGCAGCTCAAAGTGTTTGTGTTTTGGGCGACACACATCAGAGGCGCGAGGCGCGAACTAGTTTCACGCGATTGTTATAGATTCACCCGTCGGTGGCATCGTAACACTTTCATAAAGTGTCACAATCCAACAGAGTTGGTTAACGCCAAACACAAATCGGGGTCAGGGAGGGCAAAATTATTCGAGTCACGACGGCGGCGCGTAAAACATGCTAAAACACAATAAAAACGTCAGGCGCGGATTAAGGGGGGTGGGGGGCGATCGCCCTCCCTGTGGTCCTCCAGATAGCCGCCTGAAAGTAGGCAACTTGCACGACAAAAACCATGTATGAAGGCAACCTCTAAGAGCACCCTGCCAGTCGGACCTTAATCCGCGCCTGAAAAACGTTACAGCGTGGAGTTGAGTTGTGCAGGGGCTGCCAGGTGAGCACGTTCGCTGAGTAGCGTGCTCGTTGACGAGTTGCGCGCCGCCTCCCGCACATCAACAACGCGGTGCGGCAGGGCGCCGAACAGGCTAATCCGAGCTAACTTTAGAAGCGGCTGTCCCAATGCTTGTCCTGCTGCCGCCGTAACGCAGGTTATCGCGGGGCGGGGCGGGGCGGGGGGTGTTGGCGCTGCAGCCTGTCGCGCACGATATGAGGAGGCAACGCCCGGCCCTGGCGCTGCACATATACGCCCCGCACGCCCCGCCCAGTGGTTTCCTGTCCAGGCGGCTCGAAGCAGCGCGGCGCCCAAATTAAAATGCCGAACACGCCATACTCGTCGACGCGTACCTCCCTCTCCCTTCCCGCTACCCCAACCGGCCCAACCCTCCAGAAACACAATCTGCACTTGCAGGTACTTCAGTGTACGAGTGAGTACGCGGAGAGAGGGCCGCCGCCCGCCCGGGCAGCGCGGCGGACCAGAAGAAATTGTGATTCGTTTCAATCGAAAGGGTAATGCTCAGTAATCTGTTTCTGAATCGCGGCGCTCCCTACCCCCTCATACTCTCCCGCCCCCCC